GGGGGAGGGCTAGAAAGAACAAAAGAATGTTGGTTAGAATTCGAAACATGAAACAAACTCATAATATATAGTCTATAATATACCCAAGTAGTCCTAGAAATAGTTATAAATGTGCGTGTGCAAAAATTTCCTGTCTCTGTCTCCTGGAAGGGCTTAGGAGCAATGCCAACCTCATAGCAAAAGCCCCAGATCTTGGTCTCTAAGTGCTATTCCTTACCAAAAAGAGTCAGGGTTTCTTGGAGAAACGGCTGATTCCAGAGCTGGAACAGAGAATATATAATACGAGGAAGGATACAGAAGATCTAATAATACTGTCAACCCATTTGATATTTACTTCACCCAACGAAAGCAGAATACACATTCTTTTCAAGTGTATATGCAACGGTCATCAAGACAGCACCTGCTGGCTCATGAAATAAGTCTCAATGAGTTTCAAAGGATGAAAAAAAAAAACAAATTAGAAATATCAAGAATGAAAGGGAGAATATAATTATAGATCCTACAGACATTAAAAGCTTCATAAAGAAAATTATAAGAAACTGCCAATTTGAAAACTTGGATGAAATACATAAATTCCTTGAAAAAAATAAGATTTATAAAAACCAACACAAGATAAAATTAAAAAGCCAAACATCCTTACATTGTTAAAGAGATTGAGTATTTAATAGAAAATCTTTCCATAAATAAAACTCCAGGCCCAGGTGAAATTCTATCAAGCATTCAAGGAAGAAATTATACTCCTTTACACAAACTCTGAGAAAAAATAGTGGAGAGAGTACTGCCCAACTCATTTTGTGAGGCCAACATAACACTGACAAATATTACGAGAAAAATTATTATGAAATCTCTCATGAAAACAGACACAATGATCCTTACAAAATATTACCCAATAGAGTCTAGCAATATACAAGGAAATATATATATATATGTTTAAATCAGCACTACAACAAGGATAATACATCATGACCAATTGAACAAGGTTATTTCACCATTCGAAAATCAATCGGTCTCTCACTATATTAACAGAATACAGGAGAAAAGCCATATGATCATCAAATATATGCAAAAAAAGCATCTGACAAAATTCAACACGCATGCATAATAAAGCTCCGCAAACTAGGAAAATATGGGAACTTAATCTGATAAGTGCATCTACTGAAGTAACTACAATTAATATATAAATAGCAAAAGGACGAATTCTTCCCCTCTAAAATTGGGAATGAGGCAAGAATATCCACTTTTACCATTTTAAATCATTACTTAAGTCCTAGCCAGTAGAATGTCAAGAAGAATAAACAGGCATGCAATTTGTAAAGGAAGAAGTACAACTAACTGTTGAATTCACAGACCGGAGTGTGTGTGCTGAAAACCTTATAAAATCTAAAAAAAGACTATAGTTGAATTTAGCAAAATCATAGGATATTAGATCAATAAACAAAATCAATTTTTCTCTACTAGCAATGAAAAACCAAAAAATGAAATTTTAGAAATACCATTTAAAATAGCACTAAGGTAACAAATACATTGGAAATGGATCCACATATGTGTCTCAGTTTCCTCATCCTAAGTGAAGATCATAGCAGTCCCTCCCTCAGATAGTTGTTGTTAGGGTTAAATGGATAGTTATATTTAAACACTTAGAATACTTCCAGGTAGGTCAAGTGTCCTGTGTAAATATTAACCCAAATCTCACTGTGCACATCAGTTATAAGGTAAATGGAAGATGTAATATGGATTTTTTTAAAACTGACGCTTAATGTGAAATCTCTTCCTCTGCCACAGAGAGGGAATCTGTGACTTATTGAATATGTGACACTGTGTTAACACATCTCTTAAAATTTCAAATCTTGACCCAGGAGTCTGATATCATGGTACTGAATGAGTTGTTCCAGTAGGGGGAGCTCTGACCAAGAGTTTGAAAAGCGCAACCCCCCGCTGCCTCTGCGTAGGGGATACAGACCTTCGGTAACCTCCAGTTTAGTCCTTCCTCTGCTCCCTGTGCTGTGTTAGTGAAATAAAATGCTGCTACAAATTTTTTCTTTTTCCCTGAGAAGCAGTATATTGGAATAAATTGACTTAGAATTCAGACTTAATTCCTACCAGAGAAATGATGCATTTTCTTTGTATTGACAAGAAAAAAAAAGTAATTTTCTACTTATAAACATTCACATTTGGGGATTACAAAGACTATATATATTTTTTCCTTCTTTTGAGAGCACTGTATACAAAGGCTTTCTTGGCCTCAGACGTCAAATTTACTATTATGCTTCCATACTTCCTTTACTATTAACAAAAAGACAAAGCTCACACACGGACTCTGGAGAGCTGGGGCTTCACAAGCTGGAGGCATTTTTGTTGTTGAATTTTCATTTTTATTAAATTCAAAATATTTGTCCAATATATATTTTCACTTGTTCTTAACCTACATAGTCTTTAGAAGTGCAATGTTTTTGGTTTTGGGTTTTTTGGGTTTTTTTTTTTTTTTTTTTTGAGGTACATTTGACAATGAAGAATTGTATATATTTTAGGTATACGATTTGATTGATATACACTGTGAAATAATCACATTTGAGCTAATTAACATACCTATCTGTTCAGATAGTTGCCACTTTAGCAAAAGCCATTGTATATAAGTTTAATCACAGGGAAAAGAGTATTTTATACTAAAATTTATGTTTTCCTAACCAACCTCAATATCCTAATATGTAGACTACATATGTAGCTTTGTTCCCAAAGGTCATTGTGTGGTACCAGTATTATGAGTTTTTACATGGTTGTTGTTTATCTCATAGTTGCCCTTGAAGAGCTTGATTTCAAGTCAACTGAAGGGGACATGTCTCACTAATTTCAGGTTGCTAGGCAACTAGTCTACTTCTCCATAGCATCTCTTCTATTGTTCAGGAGATGTGAGAAGGTTAGCAGAAAATATGTACCATTTAAGACATATTTTTTAATAAAATCATTTTTAGGAAAACTATCCAACCTGTGTTGTCTTATTTCTCCAAGCCAACTTCCTGTTCCGCCTTTTAGTCTTATGTAGACAAATAAAATTAATATTTAGAATTCTTCTTTAGATAAATGAATGAATGTCAATATATCTTTTCTTTCTTGTCCTCTGAAAATTTTCAAATAAAATTTAAGTTTTTCTTAAAACTCATATCAAAGCCAAATATTTTTCATAATGTCGTACCAATTGATATTCATTGTTATCACTGTATGTGGTTAGGTTTGCAAGCCCAGAACTCCAGAAGATGATGATTTCCTGTAAGGTATCTTGCCTGTAATTATATATACTTAATTTACAATGATTACTTTGGTACATGATATGAAAACCATTTACAAATATGGATTTTTCATCTCATATAGTTTTACTTCTTTAAATTATAACTAAAGTTATAATTTAAATCCTAAAGATAGTACTCATCATTAATATTACTAAGTATAGAATCCTTAACTTCATTAATCACTTTATTTAAAAGATCAGAGAATAGCAAGACAAAACTAGTCCAATCACCTTTCCGAGCTGAACCTTCTCTATCAATCTCACATACCTGCCAACTAGCTACCCAATATATTTATTCTTAAATACCTTGTTACTCCTTTACTTAAAAATATCCAGAGGTAATTAGTTAGTGTGAACCCTTTCCACAAATGTTCAGTGTTACTTTTATTCCAAACTATTATAGCTTTCACATGAATACCTAATTTATTCATCTATCATCCATCTAGCCATTGATTTATTTATTTACTCATTCAATGTCATTATACATTTAATCACTACTCACCACTGTTCTAGGCACTAGAGATGAGTATATAATCAATAGTAAACATGAGATTTGTTCTTTTTTCTCTTAAGGTCAAAAATTTTTCAGATGCCTACTTAGAGCCTCAACACTTCAAGATGTTAACATTAGCTGCAGGTTTTTAGAGGCTTCACAAAATAAAATGTATTTTGCACTCCATTAGCAGTCCCACATAGGTATTTCTTGTTGGTGGTCGGCTCTCCATCATAAATGATTCAGAAATCCAGGCCCTTTCTGTCTTGTGGCTTTGTTCTCTTGGGCCTCAAGATTTTGCATCTTGCTGCCAGCCAGGGGAAGAGGTAGCATGGAGAAGCACACCATTTCTTCACTGCCTTGGCCAGAAGTGACATACATTGCTTCTTATTACGTTCCACTGGCAACCATCAGTCATATGGCCTTGCCAGGAGCAAGGCTACGGGGTGGGGTTGGGTTGGGGTTGCGGGGCACTAGGAAATGTCATTCCGGGCTAGGCCAAGACTTCCTAGCTACAACTCTTATCGTATGGAAAGGCTTTTGATGGACAAGTAGCCATCTCTGCTACAATATCCCAAACCTGCATAATTTTGAGTAAGTTTACTTCAGTGTAGGTAAATCAGTGCTGGGACTCATCTCTTCTGTAGTCTGATACTTAAATATCTAAGTCTTTCAGAGATTTTCTTCCTCTGTCTAGTTTTTTATGTTAACAAAAATTATTGAGTATATCCAGTAAGTGATTCTCTTTGGAGCAATGCTTAAGTGTACGGGTATGACTTGGTATTTGTATCCATTAGTCCTATTGGTGAACATCTAGGGAGATTGTTCAGCCAGTAGGAGGAAAACCAACCTAAAATTGCTCAAGCAAGAAAGGGATTTATCATCTCAGAGAACAAGAAGTTCCAAAATAGTGAAAATGCATAGAATACATACCAGGATTGGGTCTTCAGTGGGTCAAAGTGGCCTCACAGGCCAGTTCTCTTGTCCCCACTGTCCTTCCTGTGTGGGCTGGCTCCTCTCTGGTCACAAGATGGCAGCAGCAGCCCCAGCCACCTCAGCCTCACTCTATGGAGCAGCCCTCAGACTTTCTCGAGACGTTTTCTCTTCACTCTTTTAAAAATTAAGGACCTCAATGCCCCCAAAGAGCTTTTTAAAACAATAACGTAGGTAATGCCTATTGATATTTACCATTTTATAACTTAAAACTGAGAAAATTTTAAAGTGTTTATTAATTCATTTATAATAATAAACCTTTATGGGTTAACATAAATCACACATTTTCATGAAAAACTACGTTTTCCAAAATAAAACATTGTAGTGAGAGGAGTAGCATCGTTTTACATTTTTTATATATCTCTGTAAATGTCTGGCTTACTAGAGAAGACGTGGGCTCTCATATCTGCTTCTGAATTCAGTCTGCTGTGGTATCGCACGTCATGTAACCTCTGGAAAAGACCAGAGTCCTTCAATCAGAATCATTCATCAGAGTCATTCATGAGAGAATGACAGTGAAAGACGCAAGTGACATCTTAGTATTATTATTAAAACAGACCCCAAAGATCCCTTGAAAAGGGGATCCTTGTGTTTCCTTGTAAGAGCCAAGAAGCTGTTTAGAGCCAAGAAGCTGTTTCTAGAAGCCTTCACCAGCAGATGACCCTCGTGTTCAGCTGACCAGAATGAGATCACTTGACTATTTCTAAGGAAAGAGCAGAACTGGCAGGATTGGCTTCTGCCAACGATTCTTTCATATGCATCAGAACCACCTGTAGAGTGTGTTAAAACTCACTCAGCCCTCAACACCAGGGTCTCTGATTCAGGAAGTTTGGGGCGGAGCCTGAAAATGTGCATTTCTGGCAATTCCCAGGTGCTGCTGCTGCTATGAGAACCACTGGGGCAGACCAGTCGGGGGTGGGAGTCGCCAGGCTTCCCGGAACACACACCGGTGTGAAGACACGGACAGCTTAATAAATTAGGGTTCTCCAGCAAGCAAGAGGGGAGAATGGCTGTTGGTACAACTGTGTTTGCTTTGCTTATATGCTTAGAAAATTTATAGTAGATGCCTCCAAAATAGAGAATACTTGAGCACTGGTGCCATTAGTGACTTTTTTACTAGTTATCAAGTGTATCTTGGTTTCATGGTCAAGGGAAGAAAAGGGTGGGCGAGGGAGAGGGACAGAGAAGGAAAGGATGGGGTAGAGACGGAAACTTAATTTTAAAATGCCCTGCCGTTTTCTCTTCCTCTACAGCCTACCCGGCTTAAGAAAGGTAAATTGGATGAATTTGATATGGAGAAAGTCAATGTAACTGGGGAGGTCTACCCCTTGCAAACTCATTTTGCTATTTTGTATTTTAAGACGTGTGGTGAGGTCTAAAGCTGCACACAGCCAAGCCGAATGCCCCTTGCAGTTAAACTTGTTCTTCACGTTCACACGGCCTAGTAAGATGAAATATTCCTCGTGTATAAATATTCTGAACTATAGAGAAGCCACAGGTTAGGAAAATGCCCTATATCGTTCTTTCCGTTAACAATTTCATTGAAAAGCCTATAGAATTCAGAAGGATCAGAGACCAATGCTGCTTCTGCATTTTACAGACCGAGGAGTGGAGACCAGAGAGATGGCGTGATGTGCCCGCGCTCATCAGTCACCAAGCGGTGGTCCAGATGACAGCTGGGCCTTGCGACCGTGTCTGTTCTTCAGTCCTGACTAGTTTTGCCATGCGGTGGCTAAAACAGAAGTAAGATATAACAAACAGGTTATATATGAATAACAGATAAGCCCAAGTGGTAAAGGTCTTACTGTTGGGTGAAGTCAGTTTCACTGTGTGATGCTTCAGCTCCCAGCCTCACACCCTAACCGCCTTCAGTCCCTAACACTGCAACCCTCGGCTCCCAGCTCCAGGGCTCTCATTCCTGGCAGCCTCCCAGAGGGCAGCCAGTCCCTCCCCCACCAGGTGTGTGTCCAAACTGGCTCCAGCACAGCCCCGGGAGGTCCATGCCGGCTTCCCCAGACCTGCCCAGATGCGGGCCACAGATTCTATCTGCTCCGCTCTCTCAGCGCCCCCATCAGTTGCCTCCCAGCCTTGGGCCGGCATCCTTAGTGCTGAACCTCAAAGGAACTGGTGAGGGCCACTGCTCTGGTTTAGGAGACCGGTTCTGCATATCACAAGGAGAGGCAGGTTTAGGACATTGCAGAAAAGCAAAGCTTGCCCCAGATGACGGTGTCTGCCTGCCTTAGCAGTTGCTTCACTGAGGCCATTTTCAGTATCTTTTGGGAGGCCACCGACTACTCTGCTTAAAGAAAAAATTATGCCCACATTTTCCTACTCAGACGCGGTCTGGTTGTAACTCACAGTTGCCTGAAAGACACCTCAGCAGAGAAGGGGGTGGGAGGGAGGAGAATGACACCTCAACTGGGGGGCCACGTGTGGCAGCCTGCTCACCTCTTCTCCTCATGGGGGGAAGAAGACAGTTATAAAAACGCACTCTCTGTTAAAAGCCATTTTCTGACCAGCCCCAGGTGCAGGCCACAGATTCCATCCGCTCTGCTCTTCAGGCCTCCGAAGGGAAGGCTCCGAGACAGCAGAGCAGATGTTTCCCAACTTTCTCCTTTCCCGAGTGGGCTGGCCCTAGACACCTGGGGCAGGTGTTCTCCTCACTCAGGAGGCGCTCAGCGGGATGGGGTGGAGGGGGTAGTTAGCGGAGGAGGGGTCTAGGCTTTATGATGGAGAGGTGAGGAGGGCCCTGCATTGCTCTCCAAGTGTCCAGCCCAGCTCTCCAGCCAAAACGCAGAGGCCCGGTGGGCTCAAGGCTACCGCTTCCCTGATGGCCCACCCCGTTACAAGGCTCTTCCTTATCTGATCCAAATCCCCCTCCCGTAAACCCATGATCACCATTTCTTGATATGGGCAGCGCTTGGTCCAAAGTAGCAGCTCGACAAATAATTAAAAGGGATAGTATGCCCACGTGGTCATATTCCCCTGCAGAGGCTTTGTCTCTTTCCAGGTTAAGCCTTCCTACTCTCTTGAACAGCTATTTATCAAACTGCGTAACATTATAATACAGCTTCCAGACGCCTTACCAGCCCCATCAGCCTTCATAGGTTGTACTGCAACTTATCAATGTCTTTCTTAAAACGTGCCTGTGGTAGGGTCCAGAATTGAGAGAAACAGTTGGATGCGGCTGGCTATGCAGAGAGAGCACAGCGGACCACGGGCGCATCCTCCTTATTCTGCGTGCTGTCTTTCTGTAATAAGGCCTAAGCTGGCACTAGCATCTTTGGCTCTTGGGATCTCTTGAAAGACAAAAGGCTTGCACGTTATTTTTCAAAAGCTCCAGGTCCTTTGCCATGGACACCGTCCATATCCCTATATCCAAGATCCAGTTTCCCAACCCCTGTGCTGAATTTCTTGGTGGCTGAAGAGCTTGAGTCAGTAGAAACTTTGGTTTCTGAATTCTGTCGTGGCCAGGAAGGAGGGGAGATGTGACCAGGGGTGCTGGGTGACAGGGAGGGGGAAAGGGGCCTTGAGAGAAGCACTTCTGGATCTTCGGTATCTGGATGTCTTAGAGTAACATGATGGGGAGAGAAGGGCACAGAGCCCAAACCAGGCACTGGGCTGTGATTTCTGACCCTTTGTGCCTTCAGGTCCAGCCTTAAGAGTAGCACAGTGGTGCCAAGCCATGGTGCTAGCCCCAAACTCCTTCACAGGTGCACAGCCAAATGTGGATGAGTGTAAAATATTTACATCACAACCTAATTGTCATACTGTTACCAAGATGCCTATCATATCTGGTTTGAGCTCTGAGCTCACCATGTGACCCAAGGCAAGGCAGATGTAAGGACAGTATAATTTTCAAAGAAAGGTCACATATCTCTCAGAATACAATTTGAAAGCTTGATCAGGGTAGTAAGATATTTGTCTCAGACTTGAACCTAGAACTAAAGGACAGCCAGTTAACAGAATCATAATCATGAATGAGAGACAATTTCTTTCAGTAATTACTATTTGACAATTATTGTGGATTGGTTTAATTTCTTCAAAAGTGTTGCCAAATTTTCTAATATTTAAAAGTATTTTAAACACAACAAAATGAGGATTGTTGGACGAGTGGGATTTTAGAGGCCAATGGGAGGGTCCCTATGGCCAAATCTCCTTCCTAATGGCTCCCAGTTGCCTCAGATTACTAAATGAGAGGCACTCATTTTCATTCATAATTAGATTTTTAAAAAACTCTTAAAATGTAGATTCACAACAGATTTAATAGATTGCTATAAATGAACCTTCAAGTTAAAATGTCTTAAGGAAACCATTTTTGTCCTCAAAAGGTAGAGAGAGAATAGGTCCCTAAGGGGAGAGGGTTGAGGGTAAGGTGAGGGGTGGGGGGAACCCACAGAAAGTCACAGGGAACAGAAAGAATGGTAAAAATAAGAACAAGGCACAGTGTTTGGCCCATGGTAAGCATCTAATAAACCTGAGCTATTATTTTTGATTGAGTACCTATTATATATCAGGTACTATACATAAATTATTTCATTTAATTCTTTCAGCAGCCCTGTGAGGTAGATAGTATTTGAATGTATGGTTAAAGAAGCAGTGTTAGGCATCTTGTTCTTATTGTCACTTATTTTTAAGTGGTAGAAGCAGGACTTCAGTAAAGGCACTTATTCCAAAGGCTGTTCACACAACCACGGACACCGTGGGAAACCATGGAGCCAGATGTCACAAGAGTTGGCTGTACGTATGCCCAAGAATGTTCCAATAAAAGAGAGTCTACACATGTGGGCCTTAAGGAAAACTATGCTGGTAGGTGACTATGGTTTCATTTTGCAGAAGAAAAAACACCTGCGTTCTTTCAGACTTGATATTTGTTAAATCACTTTTACACTGTTATATGGATTGTATTTGTTAAGCCAAGGAAGTTCTTCAAGTACATGTTTTCGTCTTTATTCCTTTTACTGACTCTTTCAAGTCTGATGGTAAGGATCGCATTTTTCAAAATTTGCTCCAGGCTCTAGTTGCCTATCCCAGTGTGTGTGTGTGTGTGTGTGTGAGAGAGAGAGAGACAGAGACAGAGACAGAGAGGCAGAGAGACAGAAACAGATGGACAGACAGACACTCTTAGAGGGTAAGGGCCATCTTACATACTTCTTCTGGTTCCCCACCCTCTAGCCTGGTAATGAGCTCAGTTGGAGCATAATACTCATTACATTGAATTGAGTGAGGATTATCTTTTATGTTTAAGATACTCTAAGACCTAAATGTAGTTTTCTTTCTTAAAGGTTTCAAAATTAATTTTAGGGGTATTATAAAATAGCATCATCAAATAATACTGATCTTAATACTTCTATTAAATACGTTATACTTATGTGCATATACACACAAAGCAAATGCCATGTTTAAAAATCACCTTCAAAATTAAAAAAATCCAGGTCGTGCTAGCCAACATTTATGAAATCTTAAGGCACGGAATTCCAGAATTTAAAGACTCCTGGTCTGATTATTTCCTTCCTGACGACCAGAAATTCACAGGGGCAGGAGTTCTCAAATCTGAAGCTGATTTGAGAAATTTGGCAATAAGGCAAAATAGAAAAAAGTTCTGATCCCTTACAAAGAGTGGCTGCTATACTTGACTATAAAGGATTTTTAATGCCTCAAATCAAGGAAGAAAGGATGTCGATCCTATTTTTAAAAACAACTACACATACGTGAACAGCCACACAACCAGCAATGCTATTTCTTTGTACATGATGTAAAATGAAGGACGGATGCAGAAAGTTTCCATTCTTAGCGGGTCATCAATTTAATGGGGGGAGTGGGGGAGAAGCATTAATTCTTTTTCTCTGTGTCAGTTAAGATGACGCTATCCGGTCTTTCCTCCGTTAAGACCAACTGAAAAAGAGAGTCTGAGATCATACCCATCAAAGACACAGCAATGACTGTCTTCCTGGGGCGAAGGGGGGAGGATGCCATGGTTTATTGTCCCGGCAGATCTGTTGTCTCGTGGCTTTCAAGTTAAGACGGTGCGATATCCACTTCCGGCTCAAACGAAGTTCGGTCAGCACAGATCGTTACATGGCCTGGGAGTGAGGGTCTCTCGGGTGGGCGGCCCCGGACCGCACTGGTCGCTCGTTGTTTCCAGGGTCGTCCGGGCCGCGGAGTGGCCTCGCGGGACGGGGGTCGGCGG